TTTTTATATCGTTTTAAAGCTTAAGATTTTAGCTTTCTAAAGAGCTATTGAACGTTAAAATTGGACGTCTGTGTGTTATGTCGATCACCCCCGATTCCAAACTTTTGTCCAGTGTACGTGTAATTTGTATCACAGGCAAACCTTTTAATGATCTTTATTATACTCGTATATTGTCACAATAACTCTGTAATCAACGCTTTTTTATACGCGTAAATATCTAATACACTTATTATGATCAATTCAAATTATTATATTATTCAAAATATATAATACGTAAATTTGTTATAAATGAAAACTAAGAATCTTGGTCAATAACTTTACCTATAAAAGCATTAGATTTCGTTTAATTATAGAACTTTATGAAAAATGCCATAAGAAATGAATGCTGGGTGTGTATCCACTTATTATTCCCATTATTGTAAGAGCGTAAACAAAGTACAAAGTAAAAAGTTTCTCATGAGTCAGCTTTCAAGCCAATCAAGAGCGATCAACATTTACAAATACATGTACTGTACATGTACACAACAATCATCTGATTATAACAATCAATTTCTCTAAAAAAAAATGACACAAACACAACCACTAACAGATTCGTTACCCATCTTGACTTCGTCCGAAAATTTACCATCCACCATTTCCAACACTAATCCACCAAAAATCAATGTTGCTGATAAAAGCAATGATCCACTTGCACGAATCTCAATGTCAACATCGCAAAGAATAGCGCTGGCAACAGCAAGCGGCGCATTCTGGGGATTTATTTTCGGCGGGTATGAAGGAAGTAAACGTAGTGGACTCCAATACCGAGCAGAAAATGCACATAAATTACCTACTACCAAGGGTGGATGGTACTTTTATCATAAGCGTAAAAATTACAAAATGCTTTTGGGCGGGTTTAAACGAGGTGTGCGATATGCATTTTTTACTGGTAGTTTGTGTTTCTCATTTGTCGGATTGGAAGCCGTGCTGGATCGTCTTAGTGGTGAAACGAATGTGTTAAATACAGTTGCGGCTGGGGTTGGGACGGCTTTATGGTTTTCAACATTATGCAAGTTATTTTAACTTCTTCAAGTTTTGAGTTTTCCAGATATCTTTGCAACCGTGATTTTCAATTTGAAATTTTTCTTATAACTTGAAAATAGATCGATTGCCAAGACAAAGCACAAAATATGCAATATTTCTTGGAGCTGGTGTTGGATTATGCTCGGGTGGTATTCAAGATTTTCGTAGAATGAACATCGGTTTTCCCAAACAATAATAAAAAAATAAAGAATGGAATAGAAATTTTCGTTTCCATTTCTTTTTTGTTTCTAAATGTTAGTAATTCGAAAAAAGAGTGATTAGCGTTAGGCAATAAATTGCTTCAAAATTACTTAAAATGCTTAATATAAAAAAAATTTGAACTCACTTTTAAAAAGTCCAAAAACTCAGATTTTTTTTGAGTTAATTAATTTCTTAAGTCCAATGATGAATAAAACTCATCATCCTTCCTTTTTATCGGCTTTTAAGCTTCGTACACCCTGTACCTGTCACGACAATTTGTCAACTGTCGCAGGATTCCAAATATCTGGTAAATTTTGTCATCCATCGTCTTTAAACAGATATTTTTCATTTTACTTGAATAGTTTAATACAACATACTATCTTTTGTACATGTATTCATAATAATAATCGATAAAATGTATTTGATAACCGAAATTCATTCACATGTATTTTGCCACTAACAAACATTAATTTTTATCGTTATCATTATTATTTATGACAATTTAAAACCAAGTTTGACCCATCAAATAATCGAGTGTACGTACATTTCAAAAATGATATCTCAAGGACTCTTATCATTGGTTTAACAAAATTTACAACGAACACTGTTGTCATAACTGGTTTTTCCATCTTTATTATCAATACTCATCAATGGACCCGGTTCGAAAGTCATCCATGTCGCAACGGTGACGAAAGTTAAAAAAAGGAGGAACGAAAAGAACTTTGACATTTTGAATATGTTCAATGTATTACTTTGTGATTTTCGAACTTAATCTTTACAATTATAACAGGAAAGATAACTACGTGTGTAAAGCGATATTTTTTAAATGTACGAATTGTGTGTGTGACTAAAAGCACAATGTACATGCATGCAATAGATAACTTCTCTAGTATTAATTGGATGGATTTAAGTTTGGCATTAAAATATGCTTTGCTGTTTCTGAATATTAAATTTTATGGATAAAAAATTTGTAGTTTTTTATCGTTATTCACTCTCGATATAATGAACTCTCAATAAAGTGAATTTGAGTCCAAAAATTCCTCGATATAGTGAATCTATTAACAAACCCTTGATAAAATAAATTTTTGACGAGTCTATCACATAACCCGGACACATTAAAAAAATTACCTTTTACGGACATGTACATCAAAAGAACCATGTAAAAGTCATGTGCATATATTTACAAATATTACATGAAACAGCATCATGTACGTAAAACAATAGGTATTGGGCGTGCTTCTGCTTTTGCATATTGTGATTCAAAGGTACATTTTAACGATATACATGTACTTTTTGAACATTAATTCATAATAAATTCAGGGGACAATTCTATTTCTGGATTTACATACATTCTTAAAAAACGTTAATTTCATAAAAAAATATTAAATTGCTTCAAAAAAAGATAACGATAACAATAGTAATATGGTAAAATTTTTGTTTTTGGATTCAAAACAAGCCCCCAGCAATAAAGGTTAATGAATAGAAGTTTTTTCTAGATTACATCGTCGTACAAGTTTTAAAGACTGAACCTAACATAGGTAGATTTTCGTGAAAATATGCATGAATTGTTTTTTTAAAAAAATGAAGGTTTTAAACGAAACCATGCATCATTCATATTCCAATTTGCGACATGAATCACCGCCGAGTTGCTTTTGCATGTATTTTGTTTAGAGCTATTTTTAGAAAATTGTGTGGATAATCCTTAACTATAAGAGCGTGTATTGTCTTGAGAAAACGACGAATTCGATTGTTTGAATTTAAACATATTGCTTAGCTACGAGAATTATTAATTACTCAATAAATTTCTGAACCATTAAGAACATCGTATAATTATCCATAATGAAATTATATGGAAAATTTTTGACTTTTGCTTCGATTGCAGCACTTGGCAACTTATCACTCGTCAATTCTATTGGGTAGGTATTTGCTTTTTTTCTAATTTATTTATGTATTTATTCATCAAGTTAAATTAATTCTGTAAATTCTTTTTAGCATGCCTGCTGTCATAGGGATGCCAGGAAATGTAAACCCACCTGCAAAAAATGCACCCGCGCAGGTATTAGTAGCATCAGCACCACCGTCAGATTCACCCGTGCCGGCGTCATTAATAGCACCCACGCCAGTAGCAATTGCACCTGGATCAGCATCCGCACCGGCATCAGTAGCATCACCATTTGCATCTGTAGCGTCAGCAATAGCATCATCTGCGTCGGTATCTGTACCGCCAGCTGCACAAGCATCGGCGTCATCTATATTTGCATCATTTGCATCATCTGCACCGGCGTCTACGCCGGCATCTGCACCAGGGTCAGCAGCAACATCCGCAGCAGGAACAGTAGCATCAACACCAGCATCATCCGCAACGGGAACGGCAGCATCAACACCAGCATCATCCGCAACGGGAACGGCAGCATCAACACCAGCATCATCCGCAACGGGAACGGCAGCATCAGCACCAGCATCATCCGCAACGGGAACGGCAGCATCAGCACCAGCATCATCCGCAACGGGAACAGTAGCATCAGGAACAGTAGTATCCACAACAGGAACAGTAGTATCCGCAACGGGAACAGCTATGTCTGTAACGGGGAATAAGCTATCTTCAGGAACTGCAGCCCCTAGGTAAGAATTTTTTACTTGATTTATTTAATTTACAAATTGCATTAGATTTACAGTTGTGAATTCAATAACTTGCAGTTTTACATCATCGAGTTTTCGTTCATCTGCCACACCATCGCTCTCTCCCAATGCCGCTTCAAATAATGTATATAAACGATCAGTACTTATCACGGCTTTGGTTCTTGGATTAGTTATTGCAAATGTGTGTTCATATTACTAATATAATAAAAGTATGTGTAATTTATTTTATTAATAACACTTTATCTTGTTCAAAATATTGTATTTACGGATTAAATTTTAATTTTAAAAAATCAAGTAACGGTGTTTCTTGGTATATTCTGTTCGTATACGAACTCTAAATAATTGTGCTTTTCAAAAATCCCTCGTAATCTTTGAATTAGGTTTTAATATTCTTGTAAATAGTATATCCGAAATACACTGTACATGTAGAATTTCGAACTGACAAACATTTCGGCGCTGTTTTTGGAGATACAAAATTAAAGATAACTTTATGTTTGAATTTTAATTGAATTCGTGCGCCTTTTTGACGAATTTGTCTAATCACAAGACAGTAAAAGATCCCACTTTGTCATTGTCTGCAACCTTGAAATAAATTATTTGTTGACCTCTGATCCGAAGCAGACATCAGTTCACGTATTTCTATGTGTCAACGTGGTTTAAAATTAAGTCAGCATTCAAAAAATAAGTGACGACAAAAATAGAATTGCGGATACAGGCAACTCTCTCTAAATGCAATTCGTCGGAATCATGTGTTAACAAGCATTTAGAAATACATGTAATTAGAGATCTTATATGCGTGAAACTAACCAAGCGCATATTATGAAGCAGAGTTTTGTCTGCTCTGTGGTTTATTTTATGATATTTTAAAACTAAATATTACATTGCAGAATAATGGCAGGTATTTATTTCCTACTTGTATTTTACTGCAACGACAAATTAATGAAGATACATGTATTAGCGTTAGTAAAAAATAAATTAGCCATCAATAATCGTTTTTGTCTTTTCAAAATTAGCGTTAATAATAAAAATAGCAACTTAAAATTTTATTTATAATAATCGATTTTGAAAGTGAGAATTAGTTTCTCGTTTAAGAGATTTATAAACATAATCAATATACTGTATATAATTATTTAGCTTATTTTTTTCTTGCTATTAATATTGTTTTTTTATTTTTTGACTTATTATTTTTTTTTGTTTTTATTATTTTGAAAAGTTTTTATAATAATATAAATGCATAGAGAATTACTTTTAATTTAATTTTACTTGTGTTACGAAATTTTCTTTATTATATCTTAACCAAACTTCCTGAACTTTCTTTATATTACATTTTTCAGGATTTGTAATGCACAATTTTCATATCTGTTGATTCAATATTTTTGAAATCTTTCAAAGACTAGTTCTTTACTAAAAAATAAATTATATAAAATACTAATTCAAAATTTAAAAGATCAATTTTATTAATAAAAAAAAACTTCATTTTTTTCTTTTTTGAAATACAATGGCAGCCAAAGATACTGCTTCAGGATCAAATTTATTAATAAAACATAGTAAAAATTGAAATTTTTTCGCTATATTAAACTTTATAATTTTATTAATAAATATATTTTATTTTTATATTGAATTAAAATTAATAATCTATAGTTTAATATATAATTTTCAGATTTTTAGATTTTTTTGAAAAAATTATTCTAATTGCAAAATCATTGCAAAATTTTTAATGAAATTTGATTAATAAAAATTTTTGCAATAGCTTTGCAATTAAAACAACTTTTTTAGAAAATATTTAAAAAATATATATTGAATTATAAATTATAAACTTTGATTAATAAAATATATTTATTTAATAAAATATAATAATGAGAAAAAATTTTAATATTTATTAATAAATTTGACTTCTCAATATATTATCTTTGATTATTACTATATAAAAAAAAGAATAAATAAAGAATAAATAATTAACATATATTTAAATTTAATATTTCTCAAGTAATAATATATAATACTATTAAATAATATAAAAAATCAAATTTTTTGTATGAAATATTTTAGTTAATTAAAATTCTATTAATATATATTATAATAAATTATTTTAAAAAAATAATTTTTTTACTTGGCAAAATTATAAATAAATTAAAGAATAAACTTAATATTTCTTATTATTCTAAAATAATTTTGTCAAAATTTATTTTAAAAAAATTTAACATTATTAATTAAAATTAAATTAAATATTAAAAATAATATAATTAAAAAGAATAGCTATTTTAATAAAATTAGAATATTTTTATATTAAAAGTATTTAATAACTTTGTAATCTGATTTTATTATACTATATATTATTTGTGAAGAAAAATTATATAATTTGGTAAATATTTTAATAATCAAGAAAATAAAAAATATAATATATTTATCTTATTAATTAATATTTTTATTAAGAATTAATTCAATTTTAATAGAAATTTTTATTATATAAAATATATATTAAAGTATTATTATTATTATTTTTTATTAAAACTATATTAATATTTATAAAATATAATAGTTTAATTATATAAATAAATTTTAAATAAATTATTATATAAAATAATTTGATTTATAAATTTAATCAATATTACTTTTTATTAGAACTATATATATATATATTAAATTATAATTTATAAATTTAAATTTTAATATAAAAATAAAAATTATAAGAGTTATTATATAAATTAGCTATATTAATACTTTAAATTATGAAATTATAAAACTTAATATAAAGAAATTTTTTATTTTATAAATTTTATTAATAATTTTATTATATTTAAATATAAATCAGTATAAAAAAATTATATTTCAGATAAATTATAAAAATAATTTTTTTAAAATAAACTTTTAATTCTATCTTATTAATTAAATTATTAAATATTGAGGTTTATTTTAATATATTATTTAATTATATATATTTTATAAAATATTTTTATTATTAATAACTTTTAAATTATTATTTTATAAATCTCACTATATAGATTAATTTAATTATTAAACTTTTTAATAACAGCTACTAATTTAATTTTTATAAAGTTTGAAATTAATTTCATTAAATATAATATATTATAATACAGTATATAACAAAAAAAACTGGATATTTTATTTTTGTTTATATTCAATAAATATTTATTTAATTCATATAAAATTTTAAATATATATGCTTGATAAACTAGTAAAAAAATTTACTTAAAAGTAATTTATAGCTTTTCTTAATAAAATTTTTCATAATTAATATTTTTATATTAAATTTTTTTTAAAAAAATTGATTGTAAAAAATTTAAAATACTTTTTTAATCTTTTATTATTTGTTATTTAATGAATATTTATTTAAATTATATAGTATTTTAAATATAT